CAAGTTAGACACGGTCGGGAGCTGTGAAAGTAATTCAAACACCAAATTTATTTGAAGTCTCTAACTTGGTTGACCACGGAGTCCACTCGCGCCAGCCTAAATCGAAGCACATCAAGAGCAGGTCACCTGGCACGCAACTGAAAGTGACCTACCCAAAAGGTTAGATGGAGTTCCCGAATGTGTGATAGTGACTATGCTGCCACTGTACTTCGATGAGAAAAGACTTTGGGATAAAGAGAGAGGATCGGCTTGGGAAGCTTGAGGAAACAGCCCACAACCTCGCCATTTTCTAACAGTTGCGAGTGTTTCAGACTCCGTCAATCCGCACCTGATGTTTCGTGCGGACAGGGAGACTGATCTTCTGTAGTATAACAGTTTCATCGGTGTTTGTGTTGTGTCCTGTGAAGTGACGTCCAAATAAAAGCGTCCTGGCACCATAGGAAGGAATAAAGTTTGGTTCGTTGAAGCTCGATATTTTCAGAACAAGTAGGCGCAGACTTAGCGCAGAATATATTGGTAAAGTCGTATGGCCATAGTTGGCAAGCCAAACAACCTCCTCGTAGCTCCAAGACTGAGTCATCATTGGTTGATTGGATTCCTGTAAGCGGCGTTTGTGTGCAGCCCGTTTGACTACTTTAGCTATGGTTGATTTACGATGTAGTACTATACGCTGTTCGTTTGCGTTTTCCGCTTATGGCTCCAACGACTGCAGTTCTCATGCTGTCAAGGACACATTCTATCACGAACTGAACACACTGCTTCGTACATATCGTTGTTGTTGTTGCTGGGTATATATCAGTGCGCAAATAGGTCGTCTGAGCTCTTCAGAAGCTCAGCTAGGTGGTAATTAGGGAGTAAACTCCGACCGTACAGAAAACGACAAGCAACTGTTGTAACTGTGCGCGGAGCACCAGATGTGTCTTAGTAGCGTCGCTTTCAGACACATTGGGTGCCGAAGTACCACTTGGTGTCCCTCTATGGTTGATTTGCGATGGACACAAATAGATCACGTTGCCATAGGCAACAAGTGACGTAGTTCTATCCTGGAATGTCGCTCGTCCCGGAATACCTACATTGATGCTGATCATTTTTTTCTAGGTCGTCGAGTTTCTATGGACTTTACTGGGAGAAGTACGGTGCGATTATCGAAACTGAATTTATCATGAATAAGAAAGTAGTGATACAGATTCCCCGTGGAATATCGTATGGATTTGCAGTAAGTCCACTATGCATGGAAAAGGTGCATTTGTTATTTGAAGACAAGCCGTACCGACAGGTGGATGGTGTGGCCATGGGAAGTCCACTTGGCCCGGTACTGGCTAATATCTTCATGATGACGGTCGAATTGAGATGTGAGCCATACATCAACCTAATTTGTGTATACAGGCGATACACGTCGATGACACACTAGTGATCGCCCCAAGTGTGGACGCTGCTCTGTTTCTTCTCAATGTGCTCGATAACGCACACCCAAACGTTCGTTTCACTTGTGAACTGGAGGACAACAATTGGATGTGTTGTTGACCAGACGAGAAAACGACTCTATAAAGCGTTCTGTTCACAGGAAAGCTACATTGACAGGACTGTATGAAACCGCAACAACTTCGCCCCTATCCAATACAGGCATTGCTTAATCAAGATGCCATGTAATCGAGCTTGCAGAATATGCAGTAACGACTGTTTGAAGTAGGAATTGCTGCTCATCACACAGAGGTCACGGAACAATGGATATCCATTTCACAGTCAACTGAAAGGAAACAGACCAAGAGTACTTCCGTGCCTAAACTGTCTGTCTACCTTCAACCACCTTTAAAAAGTGATATCGTGACCGCACCACTTGAAAGACGTTTGCACATCGCGATTCGCCAGACATTCAACGCCGCCACACTTTGCCCCCATTTGGGAGACCAGAAAGTTGTCGATGCTTCCAGTGAAGCCTACTCAACCGATCTCCGCTCCAACCTATGGTATTTATCAATTCGTTTGTAGCTGCGGAAGTAGTTACATTGGCGGAACAGACCGATCTTTGGGTAAGCGGATTGAAGAGCATATCCCAAAACAGATTGCTAAACTATCGACACAACAGGCAGTCGAACAAGAAAAAGTATCTAAGTTGCCGATCTCATTCATTTCTAGACATCGAATAGAAACAGGTCATCAGGTTGACCCTGGATCAACGTTTACAGTTATCTGCTGAAACGAAAACCCCAAAGTATTGAGGTTTGTCGAAGCTGTGGCGCTTAACCAGCGTCGCCTTATTCCTTGTGTACAGAAACAATCAACAGCTCCCCTAAAGCTTCCTTGGGACACATGTCATTAGGGTGAAGCTTGTTGTTGCGTCTATATCCTTTCCCTTTGTGACCAGCTACAAACGTCCGGTTTTTGCTGTCACGTCATTCATGTGCATGTTGTTAGTTGGCGGGTGATCAGAAAACACGGAATGCGAGATTAATCAATCTCACAGTACCAGTCTTCTCATTGTCTTATTTAGATTCATACAGGGAACTTAGTGCTTTACATTGTGAAGTTATCACAGTCCTCTGTCAAACGTATCAGGATGCCCTACGTAACGGACATTCGCACTCTCGTCCGAATGATAATGAGCTTCGGTGGAATTGGACCTTGGCCGCCATACACAACGCCGAAGCCTCTGCTTGTGGCACCATCACTGGTCACCGCACCAGTCACTGGATATCCAAGAGGTCGGTGAACCTGTTGCAATCCATCAGAAAACTCCCTACTGGCTCCGAGCACAATGTAACCAGACGGAGTATTAGGCGCGAACTAAAACAGAGCCTATGTGCTGATAAGGAAGCCTGGTGTACCAACAGGGCCTAAGAAATGAAGGAGACAGGAACAGCTGCCAATTATCGCAAGCTCTTTCAAATGATCCGCACCATTGGTCTCAGGAAACCAAACGTGAGCGAAACAGACAGAGACGGTGCAGGGAACCTGATTCATAATAAGGAGCGCCGTATGGCTTCTTCGGCGGAGTACCTTGAGAGCAGTTCAGTTAGCACAATGCTCCAAGAGCACTTCATCCTCAAGTGGTGCAGACTGAGTCATGGACAGTTAGTATGGAGGCTCCATCAAAGGCTGAGGTCCGAAACGGGATCACAGCCCTTAATCGTTTTCGCGCTGCTGACCCGGATTCCATCGCACTCGCAAGATTTAGCACTGACCTCACTGTCCGAATATATCTGGAAGGAAGAGAGTATCCCGGTTAACTGGAGTGAATCGATTATAGTGGCAATATACAAGGGAAACCGCACTCACTGTGATATTCACAGGAGTATTAGCCTAATGACAGTTAGACAGAAGTACTGGTCTCAATTCTCGTTCGTCGCATTACTGCGGAACGGGAAGCTCGGATCAAGAAGTGACAAGCAGGTTTCCGTCTAGGACGTGGCTGTATAGATCATGTATTCACACTGTGGCAGGTGCCACAGCAGCACCACGCATACCGCAGATCGACAATAGCCGTGTTTATCGACGCCAAGAGCGCGTTCGACTCAGCTAACCGATGCATTATGTTCAAAATACTTGTGCGGAAAGGTGTTCCCATGAAAGATGTGAACATTTTACGTGCTTTATACTCGAACACTACAGGGCGCGTCAGGGTCTACAGTGACCTGTCGGATATCTTTCCGATAAGTGGTGCTCCTCAGGGTTTCACAATTTCTTCATTTGAGTTCAACTTAGTTATGAATTCCAGTGTGGAATGTGTTCCCTTGCGGGATCTCACGATACAGGCGTTGCCTGCTGAGATGCTAATTGATCTTGATTATTCGGACGATTTCATCTTGCTTTGTAACGACTTTGCGGCAGCGCAATCAACCCTGAATAGCCTCTCGAGAGGTCCCGTCTTAATAAGATGGAAATGGCCCGTAGTGAGCATCAGTGGCGCATCTGCTGCCGTCTCCTAATCGGATTGCCTGTTTCAACCATGTTTGATGTGAGTTATCTGCGGATAATGGCTGATTATGAAGCGGGGTGGTGAAAGCCGCAAGAAAGCTGACTCATCCGCGCCGTCTTATCTTTGCACCATAACCAGCTGTTTGTGATGGTATGTTGTTACAATGTGTAGTCGCCTTGACCCTGAGTGTTTGTTTATGTCATTAAGATGTTACTCTAGGTCCCCCTTCTCTCCATCTTATTATTTTTCATTCCTTAGGTCATGGTTGTTGTAAGGTAGCAAAGCATCAGTCCAATTGGCTGAGGTAATGCTGATTATTATTATTATTATTATTATTATTTACCGGCAGAGCTGTAGGCGATCGGTTTGCTGACGCGCTCCGCTGTACAAGTAACCTATGATTTATCGAGTCGACAATGCTGTCGGTTCGTACCCAACCGATGGTAAGGCTTTCCATCACTATTGGTTTAGACGGAACGAGATGATTGCCGAGTGGCCACGCGAATTGAAGTGCTTTGAATCAACAGATAAAAAGGTCGAAATGATTCAGGGATCAAGTGATCACCCTCCGGGAATCAGCACTGAATTGGTTTCATCTATTAAGTGAGCGGCAGTTCCTTATCACTGATGTGATGCACATCATTAATATCAAACTCAGAGCAGTGTTCAAAAGAATGACTCATTTGCTGACTCCGTGACGACCAAACAGCATGAGTAAAGAGGGGATAGTAAAATTAGCCATAGACTACGAAACCAAAGTATGGTCATTTTACTTAAATTATCAACCCATAATAGTAAACAGTACCTAGTTAAATGGTTCTTTTGTTTAAGTGCAAACAGATTTGCCTCAAAATAGCTTCTAATATTGTAAAGAGAGAGGCGTAAACCGCAGTTAAATTGTATTATGTTCAGACATCGCAAGCCGTAGAGTGTGTCGCTGCATCGAGCGGAGGTGTCACAGGTACACTAGCGCGAACAAGATGGGATGGGGGGTGAATGCGTAGGAAAAGTACACCATATTTGCCTTGGACAGGGGGTGAACACCATGGTTAAGTGTACAAGAAGGATAGAGACGCATACTAACCGTTTCCCCACTAATTTGATGCCCAAAACTCTGCCGCGCCGCTTGCAGAGTTTGACGTGGAATATCTCTGAAGAAACCAACGGAAAGAAAAGACGATCACAATAAGCGTGAGAAATGCAGGTCGACAAATTTCCACAGCAAATGAAAACCAAAAGGGCAAACATCGAGTACATGCATGTAGGGGGCAAGGTGTGACTAAGTAAACACACACACACACACACACAAGCATGGTTTACGGCAAAGCAGATACATGGCCGCAGCAACAACAGCGCGGGCCACGCTGAGAAAAAAACTACTTCCACAACGAAACCCTATTATCCAGAAGAATTAGATCCACATTAAGGTGGAATAACTACCATAGAGTACCACATTCTGGACGCGCATAAATGGTTTAATGGAAAAAACAGATGGAGAATTATATTCTGTTGTGGATGTAACTGGATTACCCGTTGTGTGAACGGATTAAAGGTTAGGCTAACTTAGTCGCATAATCCTCTTCGGAGGTTGGGGAGAAGTCGATGGCCTTCTTAAAAAGCTAGCCATAAAAGACAACAGACGTATGAAGTATAAGCTCACAGTTCAATAGACGTAGATCACGAGCGCCACGCATTGTCTTCGACGGCGAGAGGGCAGCGCACGGTGTTCGATGGTTTAATACCGCCCGCCTTAAGCCAGGTAGCTCCTGGACAAATTGGTGCAAAGCCGCCAACTCCCACCTGCGGCAGACCGTGGTCGCAGGGGCTTAACAGACTATGGTCGAAAAACAAGTGTGAGTCGGTTGTCGAAGTTTTTAAAAAAAACAGAAGATCCAAAAATGAAATAAACTCATAAACACAATTTAGTGAATCAGAAAGAGATGCATAGCAGAGAACAATAGGTACCGATGTACCATGATGCATAAGTTAACATAACAGATTACCATCTTGAGAAAGCCGTGAGGCAAATTGGTGGTTTTTCCAATTCAGGGATTCACGAAACACCGTCAATTGGACACAAGGTGCACGAGCGGTAAGCTGCTGACGGGTGTCATTGTGCGAAGCTCCTATCAACGAACGTCCGTTCACCTAAAAAATGAAAGAGATGTAGATAGAGAATAGTTAAAAGTAAACTTAATCTACCCGTATGGGTGCATTTTCAGCATTTTCACACCAACATTGTGGATTACTATACAACAAATCATCACTGAGAAATAACAAGTAATAGCAGCAAACGGAAACTTGCATCTTCAATCAAGCATACGGTCACGAAAGTGGAGTTTCACTCCTGTTGAGTCGATTAGTAAGCGTGATGGAAAACGCAGGATAGAGTTTCGATACGACGATGTACGAGAATATAAAGCTTTAAATTTTGTCTGTGTGGACGAAGTAGATGTAGTGCTGGCTATGAGATTGTGTAAAGGGTGTAAGGAGTCAATTAAAACCTTGGATGAAAAGCTGATGCATGCATCGAAATGTTGTTAACAATGAAATCTCAGCATTTCCCTAAACCGGGGTAGCGAGAAATAACTTTTAGTTAACGGGCAAGAAGGACATAGTCTTTTTGAAGCAATCCTGAGAAAATAACCGGGGAACAGTATAACCAGTGAGTGAGAATACATGCAGTTATAAACCTATAAAATTTGACGGAATAGGGAGGCTTTCAACATAGGCGGTGAATAGAAAGGGGGAGAGGATGGCTTCCTGCAAAAACCGCGATTGGCTGGGAATACAGAAGACTTTTTGCCAAACAGCTACGTGAAGTGGGTGCGATTTGTGAAGTAAACACGCACCACACTACACACATATGGAGGGACATCAATTTCGGACAAACTGTTGAGCAGTAGCAATCTACCAAGACTCCCAAAAGCGTTGGTGTAATCAAGAAATAGGAGCCGTACGCTCTTGCATTTATTGCGCAATGCTGACGCAGTGGAAACAGTCCTGGGAAAATAAGGGGGAGCAGTATAACCAGTGAGGGAGAGTATGTGGAGTCAAAAACGGTAATATTAAAGCACGGGGAACGGAAAGCATTTTACGTCAAAAAGCGTAAAAAGAGAGCTTAACCGATTTGAATGTTTCAAGTACATATGTAGACAAAGATAAATTGTGGGATAGAAAGACTCTTGTATATTTCAAGGTAGATGTGCGAGGTATGCTTTGTTCATTCACAATCATTGGAGGAGTGGTATGTACAAGGAACCGCAATTTGTTGGATGTGAAAAACAGAACGTTACAACACTTGGAAGGGTTGAGTGGGACCGGAGGCTGGACCAGTTTACTAATTCGTCCAACCCCCGTTGGAGTTTCAAAGGATCCTCGATGACTGGGTTTATGCATCCCACGGATGCCGTCATCCGCGTATTTGCAGCCTATGAAGTTTGATGGAATAAGGAGGCCTTCAAAATAGGCGGTAAATAGAAAGAGGGGGAGAGGATGGCTCCCTGCAAAACACTGCAATTGGCTGAGAGTACAGAAGACTTTCTGCCGCACAGCAGCTGCATGAAGTGGGTGTGATTTGTAAAGTAAGCACGCATCACAATACACACATATGGAGGGACGCGGTTTTCGAACAAACTGTTGAGCAATACTGATCTACCAATGCTCCCAAAAGTGTTGGTGTAATCAAGAAATAGGAACCGTATGCTTTTGCATTTATTATCCAACGCTAATGCAATGGAATGTACCAAATAAAAGACGGCATCTAGTGTAGAGCGCCATGGTTTATAGGCAAACTTTTGACATCATCAGTATGATTCCCTGTGGAAATGCGGGAGATCAGCAGTTTTTCCAGTACCTTTAGCAGCACGGACGTGCACGCAATTGACCGGCATTGTCGAGATCCATTTTAGGCATTGGTGTTATTCTGGCTGATTTCCAACTGTCGGGAATGGTACCAATCGTTACGCACCGATTCAAGACTTCTGTCACAGGTTTTGTTAAAACATCTGCGCAAAGTATGGTAGCGAGTAAAAAGCAAGTGGATGGAAAAGACGACAAAAGGCAGTAGCACGACAATCTTGTTTGCGCAAGAAGGACTGGTGAAGGGTCCCAATGCATGTTCAAAGATGTTGCGGTCAGGTTGGCAATCACAACACTGTTCCTTTGAAAAGGGATAACGACCAAATAATACAAGATAATTACGAAATTACTGGTAGGTCAGCGTGGGAAGCCACGCCACAGTAGGACAACATCCTAGCGTTCAGCGTCGAAGTGGAAACTGATTGGCACGCACTTGGATTAGTTGTTCTCGCAGCACGACTATGCAAGCCGCCTCATATCAAGAGGAAGGCAAATGAGTTCGAGATTGTAAATTAACTCAGAGTTGTCCTACCGTTTGTAGTTTGTGCACAATCAAGACTCCCGATTTAATTAAACGAAAATACAGTGCCTTCGATTTGGATGTTTGAGGAATGGTCATGTCCGAATAGAAATGTAGCTGCAAGTGTTTAGCACACCATACATACAGATTTCAAAAGGGATATGAGTCCAGGAAGGAAAAACGATAATGTCAAAGGTTGCAACCAAAATAGAAAAACACGTTCTAGAGCAGACAGATAGATGGGGATGCGGAATCAGAACGTAGTGTCTAAACCTGCTATAAGTGAATCGCGGTCGATGTTTCACTTGAATACGAAGCTGGTCACAAAGAGTCTCAGCTGTCACCGTTAGTTTCTGACAATTTGTAAGCGGGAACGCCAATATGATTCCCACGACCGCAACACGAAAGCCTCCTTTGGAACATTGGTCGGTGGATCGAAGTACAGTACAGTAAACGAGGCACAGCCTAGCACTAGTAAAATGGCCTATTTTGCGAGTACTTGTAAAGTCGTGGTATTTTGTAGCAAGAGGTGTAGGTCAAATGCTCAACCGAAGAGTCCTGGTGATGCCCGCCAGTCCATGTACAACGAAGACTAACACATCAACTTAACGCCGCGCCCTACACCATGGTGCTTTGGGCTCCTGGCGCTAGTGCGAAGTGTGTGAACCGAGCGATCACTCGTGGCGGTTTCCAATCCGTAACGCTTGGTACTCCAGGATGCATTCCGTAAGAGGCCAATTGGCTACTCAATTTGATACCCTCTCAGGTTATTTCGACTAGACGAGATCTTTTAGTAAGAATACTCCAAGACCACACACAGTGTGTGCTTCCCAAGTCTGTAAGCAAAAAAGCTGGTTGATGGTAGATCGTTTCATTGCTCCGCAGTGAATGATGGTATCCTCTGGGCTGATCAAGCTGCAGGTCATTTTTGGTTAATAGCTTACGATCTCTTGATCTAAATGATCTGAAAACATTATGCTCACAAAGCACTTTAAAAACGACAGAGATAGACGGGAATCATGCAGTGTGCCTTGTGGCACTGTGCACTTATGAGAAATTTTGTGGACCAGGAAACCTCGAATTCTCTCTCACTTAGAGGCGCGGCCCAAGCGACTGTTCAATCTCGGGATATTGCATTAAATATCGCATTGGCTGTACTTGGGATGATAGACAAGCACATTTTAACCATTTGGTCCCGATACCAATCGCACAAGTAAAATCGGATCGAGATAGACAGGAGAACTTCCGGGCGAAATGACACATTCCACAACTTAAGGCCGAATGATGCGATTGACAGAGGTTTGATTGCAGCCTTGCAACTGCCTTTCAAATGAGATGTTAGACTGTCTGGCCTTTCACTTTTCTCCTCCTTCTGCAGGCAATCACACCGAAACGGTTAGTATACATGCACTACTTCGTTGAAAAAGGACTAGAATGCACCAAGCTGGTCTTGTGGAATTAGCGACGTGACAGTTGGTGGACCACCGTTCCCAGGAACAAGAGTAAGCTGGGTAGACAGCCGGTGAGTTGATGCATATGTCAAGCGGAAGAAGCGGAGGAAAGGTCTGCTTAGATAGAGCGGCACTGAAACTACTTTGGATGAAAGGCTTTCGTTGTTATATGGAGTGACGCGAGGCTTCGGATATGAAGTCATGTTCCACGTGTTATCGCACTGCTGTCTTAGTGATTCCTCGTCTCTGACGTAGGACAAAAGCAGCTAAACTGGGCGTGGACATTTGAGTAGCCAAGGCCGCCGGGTACCGGAAACCAGTGGATAGTGTAGCGCACAGTATCTTTTCAATGCATCAATGGCTCCTTTCTCGGCAATTCCATCGGTGGAATTCCTGTACCGGAAGTTACGTGTCCGAGATATATGGCATCTGGCTAGGTTTTACTATGGAGTTGTTAAACCTATGACTGCATTGGGGGGAAGCGACATTAGCTAAAAGCAAGGTCAATTATCGTTCTGGCGAATGTAGGAAGTGACCTTCTGGAGACACGTGATTAAATTTGGATTGATTTAAAATCCGCAATGTTTAATGACATCGTTTCTGATCACATTCAACAAAATTCTTTTTATCAGCACCATCAGGCGAAATTCGGTGGTCCAGCTTATGCGTAAGTGTTTCGGTTTCGAGTAGATTCGGGTGGAGTTTAAGTAAGCGGTTGTCTATGGCTGAGATAGGATGTTGTTCTCAGGTGCATACAACGTGTCCTCCCAAGAGCGTATGATCGGTCTTAATGGCGATGGATTTGAATCCTGTGGATGATGAGATGGCTGGTTTGCTTCGAATAAATGTACTTGCACTGGATGGACCTGAATTCAAACATTAGTGGACAACTTTGCTGCTGAGACTTCTTGTGGAGTAGTAGCATGGGACACTGTTATTAAGCAGGTCACAGGTGAGGTGCGCTTCATAAAATGCAATAGATTGTGCGACCTGGTTATTTGTTGGTGTTTCAGCTGTTATTCTACTTCATAGATAACTCGTGGAGGTGGATAAGGAGGCGTTTCAATTTTGTATGATAGTGAGTTCAGGTATCCTGTAAGTCGCTGGAAAAGGAAAAGGTTTTGTTTAAGCATGATTAACCTAGCCGATACATCTGATGGTATGTTATTCAATTGCGGAGCAATGTTTGCTGTCTCGACAATACTTTACCTCACATAACTGGATGGTTTCAGCTTCTGAGAAGCTGTTTGTATCAACACGGCTCTTTCGAATGATAACTTCGCAGTATTATGACGATTCTCGGGACGCACAAGAGCTATTTATTTCGGTTGCGATATTTTCTAAAGTAAGTCAAGGTTACCGGCACCCGCAATGTTTTCAGACAGCAAGAGATAAACGCTGTGATCAAAATCCTTTACAGAATTGCATTTGGGTACAAAAACCGTATGTACAGTTAGGGTAACCGAAGGGCAGTACACCGAATGTGAAACGGTTCAGGGACTAGCGGTAGTTTGCATTTACTGGTCTGCACGCAATTGCACTGATTACATTAATTGACTGGTGGCATGCACATTGCAGACGGATTCAGCCCCTACTCAAGAAGGATTGTCATGCGAGCCGGTACGCACCAATTGCATTATAGTACAACGTGCTCGTTAAAGGAGTTATAGTAAATATCATAACCGTCGGGTGTGATTAAGCAGAGGTAGTATGTATTCACTGCTCCTCATGAAATGTCTAATCGTAAAACGTTGGCAACTTGTTTGTCTCACTAACCGCCGCTTCTCTTGTAAAAATAATTGGTCTGACAAGTCAAACAACTGAAAGTCAAATGCACCAGGTTAGGCAACACAGTCTCAGGTCTTCCACACAGTAAAGGGCCTGCATGTTCCACGCTTCCGCGACAAACATAACATTCAATTCCCTAGCTAACGACCCGTTAACACGTTGTCCGCTATTCCAACCAGCATCATAGCCTTTATATTTGACATGAGTGAGGTTCTTGAGGCCGTTCATGCATACGAGCCTCGAACTCCGCAGACACAGGCCGAACGAATGTGGAGTATGTGTCTATGATTTTGTTGGAACACCTGGCTGGTAGGTCGCAGCACGGGTTAATAGAGTCACGATTCTGTGTGACCTGGCAAACAGATTTCCACGAAAATGTAGTAATAGTCATTAATCATGGAAAAACAATTGTTTTAGTTTCGATGGAGCTGAGCAAAGCATCTAACCGGATGTCGCATACGAAATTATTGGCTGAAATTCGAGGGCCGATAAATCGGAGGTTGCTTTTCACTGGAACATCGTTTTTCCATGGGTATATCACTTTTCACAAAATATTTTTTGTAATGCCCTCGCTGGGATACAGCGCCTTTAGTGGGAACAACGATGCGGTTCTTGTGGACTGTGCTCCGCGCGAACAAGTGACGGATGGAATTCGGATCGACGCGCCCCGAGTGGCTCAGTCGGCCAACGGTTCTGTCTAACTGTACCGAGACTAACAAGGACATCGCACGACTAGTGCTGACCCCAAGGCAGGGCACAATGACTTCCAGTAGAAGTGCGAACATAGTCTGTATATTACAGTATTTATATCACGGATGGTCTCGATCTCGAGAGGGCGACACAGCTGCCACATGGTAATGGAACGAACATGGTTAGCAGAATGACGTATTTCCACGACAACGGCATCACTAAGATCTCGCAATCGGTGACCTGCTAACAATGTCTATCAGATAGGATAGAAATAAATGCCAACAGGCGGCATTGTCACTAATAACGTTTGGCGTAACCGTTTCACAGTAACATAACTGGAAAAATTGCAGGATGGGAAAGGCGTCCGTCGCGGAGTTGCGTGGAAACATGAGGTGTCCGTAATAATTTCGGCATTTTATTCGGTTGGACTATTTAGAAGGTCAACAACGATGAGATCCGCACTCTGCGAGTTGCGGATTTTGGCCAATAAATCATAAACACAATTAAATACTATCAAAAAGCGTCATTGTAACTTGAGGAACCGTCGTCCCGATAGACAAACTGAGCCTCGACACTGTGCCGTCAAAAGGATGCAAATACAAATGATCCCCTTCGGCAGCGCACAATGCTTACCTGCAGATTCGGGGAGATTCACTAGAGTGACACATATTCACCCAGTGCCATTTTTCGATCCAAGCTATCTTGCTTTTATTGGTGCTAATTTAGACTATCCGCAGAAACTAATGAAACATGTTAAAAGTGCACCCACTCAGGTACATAAAGCTTATATTGATACAAGTGATGCGAAACCTCTTGTTAGCGTTGTTATACTTATCCGGCCGAAAACAAATGGCTAAAATCGATAACAACTGCTCAAAGTCCACAGCAGTCACCAATAAGGCAATCAACATCGATGACAGGTGAAAAAACGTAAACACGTAGC